ATGAGGACTAGGATCCTCTTTTTAAAATTGGAACTCTTTAGACAGAGTGTGCTGTACTGGGCAGCACACTGGCGTATTGGTTACATATTTTTATTTACTACACTTCTGACTTTGATTTGCAGATTTTAAAACCAAGTCAGTCAGTGACTTTTGCAGTTGACATATTCTAATCCATCTCTCCAAACATTATTCTGGCAAACCTGCATTTGTTATAAAATGTCTATATTTATGTAGAGTCTTGGGGTTTTTTAATACTTAATTCAATATCCATTATATTGTCTGCCTTTCTGACAGGACACATGGGATGATCGGATCCAGATATATCTATAGTAGTTAATTAAATTGCAATACCAGGCTGATCATAATAGTACAATTTGGGGATTGTGACTCACCAGCTTTCTTTCCCATATCTTTACTGCTATCTCCTAAGGGCTTATAAGCTATACATGAATGGAAACTACACTTACAAGAGACCCAGCTTGAAAAAGAGAAACAGATGTTCTACTGCCAAGTTTTGAGGGTAAAAAACATGATATCGGGCCTGGAAGTAGAAGTAAAAAAAAAAGAAGCAGAAGGGGCAATCTTTAAATACACTGCTTCTCAGACATGCATTTTAAAAGCATGCAAGAAAAAGAAATTAATCTGATCCAGGCTAAAAAAAGGGGTGTGTGAAAAATCAGAAAGAGAAGCATAAATACGGGGGCTGGAGCAGGAGAGAGGGAGGAAACCAGTTTAAAAAGCTCTAAAAATACAGGATTGCCTTCTAGGACATAGCATGTCTTCCTAAAAAACTATAACTTAGAGCAGTGGCCCTCAACCTTTTGGGCACCAGGGGCCAATTCCGTGGAGAGTTGTTTTGCCGTGGACTGGAGGAAGCGTGTTTTTGCGTGCAGCCTGCATCCCACTGATGAGCTTCAATTGTTTTCACGGCCCAGTTGCTGGCATGCCACGGACCGGTGCCAGTCCACAGACCAGGGGCTGGGAACCCCTGAGCTACAGCCCTTTTAAAATATGTATTTAAAATAAAAATGATCCCCAGGATTGCACTGCATCAGCCCTATTGCAGACAGGTTGCGATTGGGGTGGGGTGGGAATCATTTTACTTGCGTAAAAGCAGACTTACTTCAGCAAAGCTAAGAAAGCAGCAGGCTCTACATCGGGTAATTCTATTTCCGTGGAGGTTGTTGCCATCCCGCCATTGAACATTGCATCAAAGACGGCGCTGCCCACAGCCAGCACAAACCTGACATATGAAAACACAAACAAGAAAAGCCTCACTTGACTGGATTCCGTTCTCAATCTTTCATCTATTTTTATTCCATAATACCACATTTCATCCCCCAGAATTAAGAGTTACATAAATTAGACTACTGAGAATGATGCTGAAAATTCATCCAGATTCCAGCACGTAGGTCATACAGGCTGAAATAAAAGTGGATACTTTTAACAATTGTGGTTATATTACACAGTTTCTAGATAAAGTGGCTTGAAGTAGTTTTAACTGTATATATGCTGTGAGAATCTCCCTGGGTTCCTTTCTCTGAAGAAAGACAACGCAAAAAGAAACTGCATGGGAAGAAGTTTCTCTATTTTATTTGGTCATTAACAGTACAAAGCTTGTTTCTGGAACAGCTGATAACGGACTGGCATATCAGCAAGATTCATATACATTTTTTAGCCTTTGGTTGTGAGTGAAATATGTTCTTATTCAAGAAAGCATGAAATATAGCTTTTACGATTAGAGGAGAAATATTCTGTTTGCTACCTTCTTTATATCAGCAGAGATCTTCCTGGCTAGGCAGAGGTGCTAAATTCTGTTTCCTGCCTGTCAACGATCTATTATAAATGGATATGGGTTTCTCTGACTCCAGATAACAAGGTTGTTAAAAGGAGGGGGGGGGGGACAGTTCAAAGACTTTTTAACTTCTGTCAATAAATGTTTTACAGCTGTGTTAAGTTTTACTCTTGTTAGTCCTTAACACCAAATTCAGGGCCTTTTAATAAAAGCTGTTCTGCTATAGGAAAAAAATCAAGAACAAAGTTTGAGAGACAAATACATTATTGGCCTCATGATGCAAGAATGAGTATCTATTCTAGCCCAAGCCAACAGCACTGGTTTTAAAACTTTTCATATTCTGGAAAAATATTACACTGTCATGTAAATATTAGTCTTTTATTCTGTAAATCTCTGTGCAATTTAGCTGCAAGAAAAATGTTCTGTTTGGTGTCTTAACATGCATAAAGAGAGTTTTAAAAAGAAACCTTTCATTTTACAATTGCTCCCCTTACTCTTAGCAAGCATCAGCTCTGTTGTGCAAAAGTGTCATGAGATGCACTGCACTCCTGGTCAGGATTTTGAATTCCATTCTTAAGTAGTACAAAGGCTCTATTTAGTAGCAGCAAACAGATATGATTTCAGTGTTGTAGGAACCCGTTAATGTGCGTACATGTTGAGGAAATGTGTGATGCTGCAAACTTATTGAAATTAATTTACATTGTTATAAAATTTCACAGACATACCAGGTGTTAATAAATCATTTCCTAATTTCAAATCCGGTACATTTTATTGAATAGTTCTGTACAAATCAAACAACACAATCAAACCACAACTCCACCCCCACCACCAGCAGTGAATCAACCTCAAACAAACCCAGCACAGACTGGCACCAGCTATCCTAGTGCTTGATCACTGGTTGCAAATGAACAGGCCAGATATAGCTAGTCCCTTGGAACTGTTGTGGACCAAGTCCTCCCTCGAATTTCCAACTGAAACATCCCTTCTAGCTAACATATTATTTTAAGTCTTGCCCATGGGTGCAGTAAGCAAAAAATGGTCCATGGCCTCTTCAGTTCAGTTGTGATATTGCACAGAAAAATCAGCAACCCCACAGTGTATCTGAACTCTGCATCTGAGAATGCAGACTTTTATTTGTGAAAGCCAGGCCAAATTTAACTGTGCTTTCTTTGCCTGACTTCTGAACTCCTGCACCCTATTGTGCATAATCCTCACACCCTCAACCTAATAACACCAACAGGCTACAAAACAGAAAACAGCCTTTTCAACGCTATTTGTCCACAATAAACTCTACCTAATCCTTTCTGGTTTTCCAGCCTTTCCCCACCCCAATGCCAGACCCCTCTTCAACCCCACCCATCCTACCTCATTCATTCCAGTCTCTCCAAGCCCCTTACTCTTCATCCCAAATCTGCCACCCTGTTCCTTCCTCCAGCATAAGGACAAGAGGGGGGAACTGGCTTTTGCTGGAAGCCTCAAGCAGGAGCAAACCAGCCATCCCTTGGGTGCCATTTTTAAGTTGCCATTTTTTTTTGCACTGAGCAGGAGGGTGGACTCCATGATCTCAATGGCCCCTTTCCATTCTAGGAATGGTCTAAATTTCACCTCCAAAGACTGACATCCCCCAAAATACCTCCAGGGCCCCTACGGACTTCTCCCTTCCCCACATACTGCATACAGCCCTACTGATGGCTACCCTCCAAGGACAGGACCTCCATCTTTCTCTTTCTCCTCCTTGAGATGGGGAGGGCTCTCCACCCCATTCCTCCCTCCCTTCCCAATTCCCAAGCACCCTCCCCAAGGAAAGAGACCCGACTCCCCCATTTCTCTTCCGCCAAGCCCCCCCCCAAAGACCCCCTTCATCAGGAACAGAGCGCCCCCCCTCCGCCCAAAGCCCCCTTCTCCGACCTGTGGGCGGGGATGCGCTGGGCGCCGGCCCGGCCTTTGCCCACCAAGAAGTGGACGTCGCTGAGCACCTCGTTGTTGAACAGGAAGGCGAAGCGCTCCTGCACCGTCGGCTTCGTCGCCTGCCAGTTGTAGGCCGGCTCCCGCGGCCCGGGCAGCAGCGGCGAAGAGGAAGAGAAGGCTGGGCCCGAGGGCGAAGCAGCCGCCGCCGCCGCAGCCCCGCTGGCCGCCCCCGGCAGCGGGTTGCTGCTTCTTCCTCCCGCTCCGTGGTTGTGCGTAGGCCCGGAGGAGGAGGAGGAGGAGGAGGCCTGAGGCGAAGCAACGGCGAGAGGCGGGGACGGCAGCGCTGCCTGAGGCGGCGAGAGCAGCAGCAGAGGCCCGTCGCCGCTGTTGGAGCAGCACGAGGGCGGCGGCGCGGCCGCAGGCGAAGCGGGGAGCGGCGAGGGCGGCGGGGGCGGCCCGTTGCCGGCCTGAGGGGGCGACGGCGCCGAGGCGTTGGAGGAGAGGCTGCCGCAGCCCCCGCCGCTTCCGACGGGCCCGGCTCCGGCCGCCATTTTGCGCGGAGGCGGCTGCCGGGGAGGGGCCGCCTGCAGCAGGAGGAGGGGGCGGCCGCCGGAGAGGACGACGAGGGCGGCGGCCAGGAGGAGGCCCGAGCGCGGCGGTGGAGGAGGAAGAGGAGGAGGCGGCGGTGGGGTGGCTGGGGAAGGCGGGCGGCGGCAGCAGCAGCGGCCGCGGCCCATGAGGCGAAGAAGCCCGAGCGGGCAGGGCGACGGCGGCGGCGGGTGAGGAGGAGGGGCTGCCATGCCTGCCCCGCTGTTAATTACGAGGAGGAAACGAAGGAGAGAGAAACGCGTCTTTTCCCCTTCGGTTGGGCTGTGATTGAGTGCAATGGCCTCTGGGTTTTGGTTTTGGTTTTTAAAAGAAGGGATTTATTATGACATTGAGGCGCTTCAGGAAAGAAAAAAAGGCTTTGAAAACGCGGCTGGGAGGGTTTCTGTCCACGAAGAACGGGCGGTGTGGTGTGGATGCAGAGGTCCTGATCCTCTGAAAGTAGAGATTTTGAAGTTTTTTTTAAAAAGGGGGGGCTGTTTGAGATAGAGTCTTGTCCTGACAGAAAATATTCTGATTTATTTTTTTTAAGGGCTGCCTTCTCGCCATCAAAGGGTGTTTTGTGTGTGTTTGTACACACACAAGCACATATTACTGTTTCCGGGGATAGTCGTTTCAAGCAGGCAAAGGGAAAAAGTGTTTCTGACAGAATTAGAAAAGCAGTTAAAATGTTTTAAGTAAGAAAACTGATTTTTTTCTTTTAAAAATAATCGTACAGTATCTCACTCAGGGATAAATCAATTCAGAATTTTTTTTTCTATAGGAATGGCTATTGCATCACCTATTCAAGTATTTATAAGGCATCCTATAATAATTCTCAGGTGATGGATATCATGGAATAAGAACAAGTGAAATGCTAAAGTAGATTTGTAACTGTTGTTACTGTGGACGTGTTCCCCTGAAGAATAAAAGAAAACCACTCATTAGAAATAATCCCCAAAGAATAAGAAATCCTCCATAAGAATGAAAAAAAAAATCCCCTGTCTCTCCCTGAATGGCTTATTCCCGGTTTTTAGCCTAGGAAACTTTGTCTCCCTTCAAAATTTCCATTCATAAAACTAGGTCTCTATACAGAGGGAGATGCAGATGGATAGACGGAAGCCAGAAATACAAAGAACTAAAGTTAAATAGAAGCTGATCACCCAAGCCAAACAAAATTAAAAAGACAAAACATTTATGCCCATACTTCCTTTACTCATAATGCGCAACTATGAAAACCACATATACAAGAACAAAAAATGTACTGATATAGAAAATAACAGTTGGAAGGGACCTTGGAGGTCTTTTAGTCCAACCCTTTGCTCAAGCAAGAAACCTATAACATTTCAGACAAATGATTGTCCAGTCTCTTCTTAAAAACCTCCCGTGTTGGAGCACCCACAACTTCTGGAGGCAAGTTGTTCAACTTATTGTTCTGACTATCAGGAAGTTTCTCCTTTATTCTAAATTGGTTCTCTCCTTGATTAGTTTCCATCTGTTGCTTCTTTTTTTTTTTTCAATTTTTTTTTTTATTATTTTCAACATAAAAAAAAGAACACATCACAAGTACATCACAATGAAACCCCCCCCACCCCCCACCCGGACTTCCCAAACCTAATCCCAGGATACTATTCATCTAAAAGTAACCTTATATTAATATCCCTAACTCCACAAAATGTAATTCTACATAAGTAGGTGAAATATATATATATGTATA